TGTACTTATCTCCTCACACTCAGCCAAATGATGCTCATGAATGTAAATTGCTCATGATCTATATTCCCCATTTGTGTTTACAGTGCAGTCTGAAATTGCTGAGCACTTATACATGATGCTAGGAGAAGTTTTAAGCTCATAATTGACAAATTGCATCATTGAACACTCTTGTAATGCCTCATTGTGACTTTTGTTCAGTTGGAGCACAAAGTTCAGTTAGTGGATTATTTTTCTTCTAGTAAATTCAAAACTCCTGTGATACATTGCTCTCATACTAGCATTCCTGATGTCACCAGTTCATTCCTGCAGATAAATTCCGAGAGATAATTACAATATGTTCAACTCGGACAGATGCTGGGCGGGGGGGTCAAGCCAATGGGTATAAAACTCTCAATATCTTCTTTGAAAATCCTGAAGTGTTTGTGGAATTTATGGGAACTGCCTTGCACTGAGTTCATAATAAAACTGAAAGAGCTGCAGATGCTGTCAATCAGAAACAAAAACAGAAATTGCTGAAAAAGCTCAGCAGGTCTGGCAGCATCAGTGCAGAGAAATCAGAGTTAATGTTTTGGGTCAAGTGACCCTTCCTCAGTTCATATCCTTTTTGTGGATGTATTAATGAAGGTAGAAGGACGTTTTTGTGATTTGAGTTTCAGGCAGGGTGTAGGATGATGACTTTGAAACCTAAGGCTATCCATTTAAGACACAGTAATATGCCAGACTGAATGAGCATCAGATGATAAATGTATTAAAATAGATGGCCCAGAAAGATGGTGAAACCACCAAGGAGCATAGTAACAGAAAAATAAGTGCAGATATAGGCCTGACGGATCATCAAGCCCACACAACCATTCAAAATGATCATGGCTGATCCTGTATCTCAACACAATACTTCCACTGTCTTCCCATACCTTTGACACCTTTAGCTTCTAGAAATCTATCAATATCTTTATTAAATTTATTTAGTGACTTTGCTTCCACAATCTTCTATGGTAGAGAATTCCACAGATTTATCCTCCTCTTCTGGAAGAAATTTCTCCTCATCTCAGTCAAAAATGCCCTACTGCTTAATCTGAGTCAATGATCACTTGTTCTAGACAGTCCAACTAGGGAAGTATCATTCTTGCGCTCAGTCTGTGCAGCCCTGTTTTATACAGTTCATTAGATTCTTTGTCCTTCTGAATTACGGTGATCAAAAGTCCAGTCATCCTGATCTCTCTACATGACAATCCTATCATCCCAGGAATCAGTCCAATGAACCTTTCCTGCATTCCCTCTTTGGTAATTATATCTTTCCTTTGAGAAGGAGACCAAAGCTGCACACACTGCTCCAATTGTGGTCAGACCAAGGTTCTGTACCACTAAGACTTCCTTGCTGTACTCAAATTCTCTCGCAATCAAAGTAAATATACCATTTGCCTTTTGAACCGCATGCTAGTTTTCAGTGATTGGTGTATAAGAGCATCAATGTCCATTTGTCCACTAATCTTTCCCTTTCTGTCATCATTTCAGTAATATCCTGCCATTCTGTTTTTCATACCAAAGTGGATAACTTCACGTTTATTCACATTATACTACATCTGCCATGTATTTGTCCACTCACTGCATTTGTCTGAATTGTCTTAAACCTCTCTACACCCTCTTCATTATGGTCAGTCCCACTTAGCTTTGTGTTATCAGCAAATTTAGAAATATTTTGAATAATTGGGGCCCAAGCACTGATTTCCACAGTAGCCCACTTGTCACCACTGTCTTCACCAAGAACAATCGATTTATTAATATTGTTTTTTGTATGCTAAACAATTCTCCGTCCATGCCAGTATATTACCACCAGTCTCATATGACCACATATGCTGGTTCTCCCTTGGCTATTCCACCTCAAAAAATTCTCAACAAAGCTCCAATATGTGTGGCAAATATAATTTCCCTTTCATAAGTCCATGTTGATTTAGTGTATTACCATTGGTATTTTTGTGTCCTGTTATCGCATCCTTTATAATAGAATCTAGCATTTTCTCTTTTTCAAATATTACACGAACTGGTCTTGTAATTGCTTATTTTTCTCCGTCCCTTTTTGAACAGTAGGATTACATTTCCCACCATCCAATCTGCCAGGATGTACAAAATTATGGAAGACAGCAACCAAAGGATCCACTATTTCCATGGTTTACCTCCCTTCGTACCCTGGGATGTTGGTTATCAGGCCCTAGGGATTTATAAACTTTCAGTTTTATTCATTTTTCCAGCACATTTCATTTTACTAGTACTAATTTTCTTTTCTTTTCCTTCCTGAAAGATCCTTGCTTCCCTAGCACTTCTCGGAAGTTGTTTATTTAATTGCTCTACCATTTTCTTGTTTTTCATTATCAGTTCTCTCGTTTCAGACGGTAAGTGCCCTACATTTGTCTTCACTTGTCATGTTTTTTTTTACATAAGTCCATCAGTCTGTTAGAAAAAAGAGCAGGAGTGAGTCGTTCAGCTTCTCAAACCTGCTGTGCCATTCAGTAGGATCATACCTGATCCAATATTCCTTGCATCCACTTTCCTGCCTTTTCCCTGTAACCCTTGATTGACCTAGTGATCAAGAATCTATCTACCTCAACCTTAAATATACACAAATGAATCACATGTGGAATGAACTGCCTGAGGAAGTGGTGAATGCGGATACAGTCCCAACATTTAAAAGACGTTTGGATAAGTACGTGAATAGGAAAGGTTTGGAGGGATGTAAGCCAAACGCAGGCAAATGGGACTAATTACATTGGTGTGGTTGGCGTGGACTAGTTGGACCAAAAGGTCTGTTTCCATTTCCTCATGACTCTGACTGTCTGTGGCAAGGAGTTCCAAAGAATCTCAACACTGTGAGAAAAGAATTTTTTTTTCTCATCTCAGTCTTAAATTAGTACCTCTTTATTTCTGAAACTATGCCCTCTGGTCCTGGACTTACCCATGAGGGAAAACACTGTCTCAGCATTTGCCTTGTCAAACCTGTTAAGAATTCTATGTTTCAATGAGATCACCTCTCGTTCTTCTAAAAGGCAGTGAGTAGAGTCCCAACCTGTTTAACCTTCGCTCATAAGACCAATACCAGCAATCATTCTAGTGACATTCTCTGAACTGCCTCCAGTAGAACAATATCTTTCCTTAAATAAGGGAGCTAAACTATACATTGCTCCAGATGTAGTGTCATCAGCATCTTGTACAGTTGCAATCAGACTTCCCTACTCTTATATGTGAAATAAAGGCAAGCATTCCACAGCCTTCCTGATTACCTGCTGCGCCTGTGTGATAGCTTTTTGTGTTTCATGCACAAGCAACCCCGAGTCCCTTGGTGTTGCAGCTTTCTGCAGTTTTTCTCAATTTAAATAATTCTATGGTCTTTGTTCTCCCTTCTAAAATGAACAACTTCACATTTTCCCACATTATACTCCAATTGCCATCATTTTGCCAACTTACTTAACCTATCAATATCTGTCTAAACTATTTGAATCCCCTTTCCAACTTGCTGCTCCACCGACTTTTGTGTCATTCACGTTGATTATAACCACTGTTATTGTAAGTAAAATTGGTGGTTTTTCCCATCATCTTTGTGAAGTAATACCATACAGTAAAGAATTTCATAAGCAACAGCAACAAAAGCAGAAATTGCTGTAAAATCTCAGCAGGTCTGGCAGCAACTGAGTTCTAAAGAAGGATCACTGGAACTGAAACAGTAACTCTGCTTTGTCTCCACAGATGCTGCCAGACCTGCCAAGCTTATCCAGCAACTTTTTTTTTTGTTTAGAGTTTCACAAACCTGCTTGTCCTGCAGCAGAATATTCTGTCCTATATTTTACGATTGGTGCAATTTGCTTAGAAATAAAGTATCTGTATAAGTCTTGTTTTTCTGTTGAATTTATAGCCTTTCTTTTTTAATATAAATCTGCATAATAAAAGTGTGCTTAATGCAAACACAACTTGGAATTTTCTCCAAAACATTTTTACTATCAGCAAAGATCCGGGTAGGGGTTGGCCTAGTGGTATTAGACTATTAATCCAGAGACCCAGATAATATCGGGCGGCACAATTGCTCAGTGGTTAACACTGCTGCCTCACAGCGCCAAGGATCCAGGCTCGATTCCACTCTGTGGCAACTGTCTGCGTGGAGTTTGCACATTCTTCCTGTAGCTGCATGGGTTTCCTCCCACAGTCCAAAGATGCGCGCAGGCTAAGTGGATTGCCCGTAGTGTTCAGGGATGTGTAGATTAGGTGGATTACAGGGGTATGGGTCTGGGTGGGGTGCTCGGAGTGTCGGTGTGGAATTTTTGGGCCGAAGGGCCTGTTTCCACACTAGGGATTCTATGATTACCATACCTCAATTATATACTCATTACAAGATTGGTTACTTCAGTTGGTTGGATGACTTATATGTGATGTGGAATGATGTTAACAGCATGGATTCAATTCCCACATTGGCTGAGGTTACCATGAAGGACTTTCCTTTCCAACACCACTTCTCACCTGATACATGGTTATTGTTGCAGTTAAACCAACACCAGTCATCTCGCTCTGATAAGAGAGTAACCCTATGGGACTATGGTGACTTAACAAGCAATTTATTTCTTCAAAGCAAAGTTGCAGTTGCAATATGCTTCATAATTTATGATGTATCTGGTTTAGAATTAATGCGTTTAATATGTCTTTGAAAGAGTTTAATTCTGAATAGGGCCGTCATAGAACCAGGTCTTTCTGGTACGCTGTACCTCTTTTTATTTTGTCCTGAGCTGTTCCCTTCTTTCAAACACTTGTCTGGTTTCCCTTTAAAAGTATTTGCAGACTTTTGCCTCAACCATTTTTATAACAGACAATTGTGCATGCTGACAATTCCCAGTAAAATCTTTCTCTTACTTTCACCTTTAATTTTGGGATAGGGTGCAAATTGGGTTAGAATTTATTTTAGTAACACTCAAACATTTTAAAATGCAGCTCTTTTTAAAAATGTAAACTTTCCTTTTAAACAGAGAAAAAGGTTCTGATGCATCTTGGAGAAATGACCAGGAGCCACCAGCTGAGGTGAGTTCATTCCGGTTGATTGTTATCTTCCTTGTTTGCAGAGCAATGTTTTCTTCCATCTCAGTGAATACATGGTATGATTTGAGGTAAAGAGAGAAATACCACCTATAATCCTTACACATTTTATTCTTCGTAAGTTGTGTAGATTTGTTCAGAGATGGGTCAATTCACAGAAGTTCAGCTTCTAGAATAGATTTGACTACTTTTATCTGATATGTGCAGTTCTGTTAAAATGTTTGCTTTCAAACAATAAATAAGACAATGACATGAAGAATGAGTGTATTCTAGTTAAATTTTTTGAGAAGATTTGTAGCTGGGGTTTTGGATGAGGTTATAGACTTGCTCGCCAAACCGGTGTATTTGGTTACAGATGTTACGTCACCCTGCTAGGTAACATCGTCAGTTCGTCTCCAGTGAAGCGTTGGTATTCTGTCCAGTTTGTTATTTATATGCCTCGTTTGCTGTGGTGGTTGGCATTACTTTTGGTTCTGTTTTTCAATGGTTTGCATATCGGGGTGTTCAGTGTGTTCGTTAATGAAGTTCCGGTTTGAATGCTCAGTCTCCAGGGATTCCCTGGCATGTCTCTGTTTGGCTCGTGCTATTATGGATGTGTTGTCCCAGTTGAATTCGTGTCCTTCTTTGTCTGTGTTATTGAGACCAGTGAGAATTGGTCATGTCTCTAGGTGGCTAGTTGGTGTTTGTGTATCCTTATTGTCAGTTTTCTTCCAGTTTGGCCTATGTAATGTTTCTCACAGTCCTTGCATGGTATTTTGTCTATTACGTTTTGGTTGTGGGTATGGGGTGCTTTATGTTTATCGGTAGCTGTCGCAAGGTGGTTGTTGATTTGTGGGCTACCCTGATACCTAGGTGTCTGAGTAGTCTGGTGGTCATCTCTGATATGTTTCTGATGTACAGTAGAGTGACTAGTGTGTCTGGCCATGTTGTGTCATCTTGTTGTGATCTGTTGGGGAGATAATGGCGGATTGTGCTTTTTGGGTGTCCATTCCTTTTGAAAACTCTCTGTAAGTGCTCCTGTTCTGCTTTGCACTATTCTGGATTGCTGCAGTGTGTTGTGGCCTGTTTAAATAATGTCCTGATGCAGCTTCATTTATGGGTGTTGGGGTGGTTGCTGGAGTACTAAAGTATCTGGTCCGTGTGTTTTGTTTTATTCATTCATGGGATGGGGGCATCGCTGGCTAGGCAGCATTTATTGCTCATCCCTAATTGCCCAGGAGACAGTTAAGAGTCAACCACGTTGCTTTGGGTCTGGAGTCACATGTACCAGACCAGATAAGGATGACCGTTTCCTTCCTTAAAGGACGTTAATGACCCAGATGGGTTTTTCTGACAATGGTTTCACGGTCATCATTAGATTCTTAATTCCAGATACTTATTGATTTCAAATTCCACCATCTGCTGTGGCGAGATTCGAACCGGGTCCCCAGAATGTTCTCTGGTCTCTGGATTAACAGTCCAGCAATGATACCACTAGGCCATTTACTCCCCTAGTCTTTGTGTATACACTAGTCTGCAGTTCCTCGTTGTTCCTACATTCTACCATTATGTCTAGGAAGGATAATCGATTACTGTTCTCTTCTTTTTGTGAATTTTATTCCGGTGAGGATGATGTTTATGTGTCTGTGGGTTTCTTCTAGTCTTGTACGTTTGATAATCACAAAGATGTCATCTACATAGTGGACCCAGAGTTTGGGTTGTATAGTGGGGAGCTCTGTTCGTTCTAATCTTTGCATTTCCGCTTCTGTTACCAGTCCTGATATTGGGGATCCCTTTGGTGTTCCATTGATTTGTTTGAATGTATAGTCATTGAGGGTGAAGTGGGTTGTGAGGCACAGATTCAGCAGTTTCAGGGTGCTGTCCTTGTTGATGTTGTTGGTGTCATGGGGTGCCTGCCTTCCTGATTCTTCCAGCCGTGTGGCAATTGTCTCTTTGGCTCTGTTGATGTTTATGGATGTAAATAATGGTGTTACGTTGAAGGATATCATTATCTCGTCCTCTTGTATTCTGGTATCCTTGATGATGAGGAATTCTTGGGAAGAGTGGATGGAGTAGGTAGTATTCTCAACTAGGTATTTCAGTTTCCGTTGTAGTTCTTTGGCTAGTCTGTATGCTGGCATGCCTGTTAGTGAGACAATGAGTCTGAGGGGGCCCCTGGCTTGTCTACCTTAGGTAGTCCATAGAAGTGGGGTGTTTTGGATCCCTCTGGTTTCATTTTTTTGGTAGGATTCTTGCTGATATCTCCTGAGTTTGTAATTTCTTCAGGGTTGTTTTGATGTGGTTCTCTAAATGTGGTATTGGGTCTATCGCCATCTGTTGGTAGGTGCCATTATCTGTTTGTAGTGCATGAGCTTTCTCGAAATATTGTGCTCTATTAAAGATTACTGTCATGCATCCTTTGTCCGCCGGTAAGATTACAATGTTTCTGTCTTTCTTGAGTCTTCCTCCTCTTCTGTGTTGAACGTGTTCCACTTACCTTTTCTGCTCAGTGCAGGAACTGTCGTCTGTCTGATGGTCAGTTGTATTTCCTCCTTGAGTCCGTTGTTCTTTAGTGTTGATTCTAGTGCAGCCAGGAAGTCAGTTTGTTTTTTTGGCGTCTCTGTAGTTATAATTCAGTCCGCATAGTAGGACGGTCTTCTCAGTGTCTGTAAATGGTCGGTCTAAGGCATATAAATAACAGGCAGGATAGAACAACAGTGCATCACTGGAGGCGCACTGATAATGTTACCTAGCAGGGTGACGAAACATCTGCAACTAAACACGTCAGCTCAGTGAGCAAGTCTACAACCTCTGTGTATTTTATTCTTTTACTTTTACAGTCTGACCAAACAGCTAATTGAGATTTTAATTTAAAATGTGTGTCATGTGGTAAAACCTATGAATTTATGATGCATTCTAATGTGTGCTGTTGCATTTCTGATAACAGGTAACCTTGGTTACATTTTTCTACTGTCCTAACTTCTTGCACTTTTGCAACCTGAGCCTGGGTTGATAAGTATATCCAAGGCTGAGATACATTTTTAATCAATAAAGGAATCAAGGATTATGGGGAAATAGCAGGAAAGTGGAGTTGAAGATTAACACATCAATCATGATCTAATTGGATGGCAAGCAGACTTGATGGGCCAAATGATCTACTTCTGTCCCTATATCTTATCGTCTTGCTGACTGGCTGGTTTCTGTTTTTTATTATTTCTGCCTCGTTCCCTCCCTTTTTTACAGTTTGATGGATCCTTTATGATTTTAGGAAGTGTTGGAGAATCAACACTATTGCATCTGCTACCTCATTAGCCACCTCTTTAAGACTTCTAGAATGAAGTCTATTTGGATTCAAGAACTTGACAGCCCACAGCTCCAGCAATTTATTTAATACCACTTACTAGTGAGTGCAATTGCACCATGCTCCATTTTTACGTTTAGTTAACGTTTTCTGATACTGTGAATTCTTCCTCTTGATTAACCTTTTGGTCATTCTCCTGCTGCTCTTTATATACTGATCAATTATCTGACCTCTGTATCATTTCACATTTAAGTTTTTTTCCCCCTTATGTTTTGATGTTCTTCCTAACCACTTTAGTTAACCATGGATGGTGGATTTTCCCTTTAGAATTTTTCATCATAATAGGAATATGCTTCAGAGTATGCTGTAAGAGCTCATACATGTTTGCCACTGGATCTAACCTAGTATGTCACTTCACTTCAGATAGCGTACTATCATGCATACATACCAGTTTTAGATCCAGTTTTCTCCCTTTCAAACTGAATGAAAAATTCAGTCATTTGTGATGGCAATTGTGGTTGCTGCTAGCTGTGTGCCTTTTATTCTGAGGTCACCAATTAATCCTGTCACATTATACAGTGCCAAGTCCAAAATAATCTGCTCACTGCTTGGTTCCAGAAATGAGCTGCTGTAAGAAACTGCGACAAAAGCATTCTATGAACTCCCCATCCACGCTGCTACTATTAAAGTCACATCTGATAGTTGCTGTCTCTTCATCATAAGTATAGTATTTCTTCTTGTATGCTTTGTCCTACATTATGGTTACTTCTGAGGGGCCTGCAGACAACTCATGACTTATTTGCCCTACTATTCCTTATTTGTGCCTAAATCAATTCTATGGTAGGTAAGTATCAGTTTCAGAGAACGACATGGAGGGTTTCCCCCCATGACCTGTAGCGAGTTAATTCTCTCAATTTTCTGTTGCTCATTTCACTAAGTATGCTCCATAATGCCATTCTCATGCTATTTTGTGCTCACCAGAAAATTATCCACCGATTCTAGGACTTTTCTTGTTACAGGTGCCATGCTTAAGATTTGCTGTATACTATGCCACCCTTGTCTAGTGCAGCCAAGTATACAGTATAGTGTCCATTGTCAAGAGGAATGCACAACAATGCCGCAAGAAGGCTAATGACCTTCTGTACTCTGCAAGTGTAGGTGCCAACACCTTTTGTCTGCGGCCTTGTGCTCCCTTTGCATTCACCTCCCACCAAAGCTGATAGTCTTCCACTCACAATATTATAAATATCATCTTTCTTCCATGGCTCTCACTCATACCACCCCCCACCCCACCCTTTCCTGAACAGCTAACCATTCCTGACTTCTATGATTCCTATACAAACAAAGTTGCTGGAAAAGCTCAGCAGGTCTGGCAGCATCTGTGGAGGAGAAAACAGAGTTAACATTTCGGGTCCAGTGACCCTTCCTCAGAACTGATGGTGGCTGGGAAAACGTCAGTTTATAGTTAGAAAATAGGGAGGTGGGTGGGGTAGGGTATAAATAATAGGATAGAGCCCAAAGAGAGAGAAAGACAGTTGGACAGACAAAGGAGTTGCTAACTATCAGGCTGGGAGTGTGAATGGTTGTTAAATGGAGACTGTTAGTGCCTAACAACAGGGGATGTGTAATTGCAGGCTATGTGGTAATAAGGCCTGGTGTGTGGGGTAGGGGGAGGGACATGGGAGAGTTTAGGCCCTAAAATTAT